GGGGGGGGGGGGGGAGACGGGGGAAGGGCGAAGTGCGGGACGTGGCAGCGTGAGATGAGGGGACGTTTGGTCGAAGGACCTGCTGTTTCAAGGCAGCGGTGACGCCTCAAGTTATGTGTCCGTCTATGGTATGTGGCTTGTCCGTTACCGAGAGCGATGCTGGGCTTGGGCGCGGAAGGCACAGAGTAGCGTAATTGAGGGTGAAGAATCTCGCACACGTAGCGGCAGTCAGTGGAGCTGTCCTGTGGTACTTTCTAAGACCCCAACATAAAACTTGCTGCTATTGATGACAAGGGCGTCTGATCCCGATAGCCCTCTTGCCCCGTCCTCGCCGCCTGAGTGGCACCCCTTCCCTCCCCTGGTGCACCGCTAAGCCTGCCGTCGGTGCAGTTTGGGTAATTCAGTCCATGTGTCCGAAACTAAAGTACATGCGCTCGTCTGTACAAGAAATGACACGCCAACAATCGCGCTCGTTCATGCGCGTACCTGTACAGGCTGGATCGGTCCGTGGTCTCGCAAGCGCTGCGCACGTTTTGCGTTTTCTGGAGGCGTGGCTGGGCCGCCGAGACGAGGAAAGCGAAGCTGTCGCTGTTTGCGCTGCTTCAGCAGGGGGCCTCCGAGGGAGGCGCCGCGGCTGTGAGTTATCCCCCCGTCCCCCCGGCTGTCGGCTCTTTCCCTGGGGGACCGGATGCCTGGCTTCCGCAGTGTTGTTGTTGTTGTTGTTGTCTTCACATTAAACTCGTGTCAGTTGCTATTCCCAAAATCTAGCAAAGACGCGGTCCGTGGTCACAAAAATGCTAGAGCCATCAGAAGATCTAAAGAACACACGCACTATTAGCAAGAAAAGGGTACACAAGCCCGAGGAGGTACACCTGCAATTCCTGCAGCACGTTTGCGTGCTCACAACTGAACTACACGCCCACACACTACAATTCGACTGTAGTCTACAGCAGCAGCATCACCCCCCTTGTCCCGCATTTAACCAAAGTGAATGGTTGTCCACTACAGCGTACAGCTGTCTGAAGTGCTGTCTGTACAAGAACACCATGGTAGGCATGGTACAAGTTCGGGGCGCGCAACTGCTGTCTTAAGTGCTGTCAGAATGCGTCCGTCCGTGTACATACAAAATGAAATAGAAGAACCAACCAAAGCCATCACTGCGACTGACAATCACCGAATCTACCCCCGATCATCTGTGTTGGACGCAGCAGTGTAAATATTCGACATTGACTAGGAATCGTTCCACATTGAAGGGGTCTTCCACGATGCAGGTACACATGAAAGGCACCCGGGGTATCTACGCCGTTTTTGCCGCGTCTCTCTACAAAACCAGTGACGTCATCACACACACCCAACACCGATGTTGAGGAATTAAAAACGGATTTTTTTTTACAACACAAAATGTTCGTCCGTGCGTCACGGTTCGATGCCGTCCGTGTGCTCCGGTGCCGCTGCTCCGATGCCGCTGCTCCGGCGCCGCTGCCCCGGTGTCACTGCGGCCAGTCCTAGCACGACCAAACTCGACCCGCTCTGTTCCGTACACGCTCTCGTTGCTGTCCTTCCCAGTCGGTTCCTTGCTTTCTCCCTCGTTGCACTTAGTGTTCTTGGTCTGGAAATTCTCGCGCCGAAGGGTCAACCAGCCCAATCAGCTCGTCACCACGTGTTCCCTCCTCCCCTTTGATGGCGAAGCCAGGTTACTGAGACAACACAGCTCCCTCTAGCAAACCTAGGGCCGTGTACATAGTGCCCATCCACCTTTCTGATGGCGTCTGCCTCCGCGCACAAAACTGAGATGGACATTTGCTGTCTACACCGACGGCCATGAGGCCCGCGCACCTGCACTTTTGTACCTTACGCACCAGTGCCGATCCGCNAATTCTCGCGCCGAAGGGTCAACCAGCCCAATCAGCTCGTCACCACGTGTTCCCTCCTCCCCTTTGATGGCGAAGCCAGGTTACTGAGACAACACAGCTCCCTCTAGCAAACCTAGGGCCGTGTACATAGTGCCCATCCACCTTTCTGATGGCGTCTGCCTCCGCGCACAAAACTGAGATGGACATTTGCTGTCTACACCGACGGCCATGAGGCCCGCGCACCTGCACTTTTGTACCTTACGCACCAGTGCCGATCCGCCTCCACCACTACGCACGCCTCGCGGCGGGTGCGCCGCAGGAAGAAGGTATCGGTCCCTTGAGGGTGAGTCTAGCCATGCTCGCTAGAAAGACCTCCCCCCTCGCTATTGGGCCGTGACTAAGCGAAAGCCTTGCCGGGGCGGCGAGGGGAAGAAGAAAAAGTTCAGTGTGCCTGCCTGCTAAACTGCTTGATCTTGTCTCTTATCGTGTCCTCTTTCTTTTCAGAGTCTGCTTTCCTGTCTGTTGGTGTGTCGGTGGCCCTGTGTTTAAAACGAAACACGAGAACGAGATCTGAATCTGGGTTTGGTGTTGTGTCAACTCCTGCCGCCAGCGTTTGTGCGCTTTTTGTGCGTTGGATTTTGTGTTCGTGTCTTGAGTATGATAGTCTGTTCTACTACATTCCCACATTCCCACACATACACGTGCCAGCTTTGTTGTGTCATCCAATGTTTTTTGTTTTTGTTTGTTTTTCTCCCGTCATTGGACTCTGTCGTCTGCCCCTCTGGCCCCTATCCTCCACTTCTACCAGCTAGACGACCCAACCGGGGTCACATAGGAGGGGGGGGCTGGACCCCCTCCTGCGGTTCCTGCCTGAGGGATTTGTATCGCGAGAAGGGTACAGCAATCCCTTCCCTCGCGACTTACGAAGTCGATTATGGTTTACTAGCAAACGAGCTTTGCAGCGCGTTGCTTTCATCCTAGACCAGGATTTATTTGTGAGAAAACTCTCACTCTGCCGGGACTCGAACCCATGACCTGGCCCTTAGCAGGCTGCGAGGCTACCCACTAGACCACCGGGGCGACCGCACAATGTATGTGCCAGAATCGAATTCTTCTACATAACTCCGGGAACGTGTGGTACACGCAGTGGTTCATAGTGGACTCTGAATCCTTGTTCGTTTCCGTTGCACGTCGTGAATCGCGTTCGTGTGTTCAAGACCCTTCTTTCGGGACACCGGCGTTCCGCATGGCACTCCGCTTGTAGCTCCCCAACGCCCGACTCAAATGAGACCCCCTTTTTCACTCATCCCCTCGCCGTCACCCTTCACGCTCGCGGGGCCCCTTAATTCACTCATCCCTTCCTTCCCCGTTGCGCCCATCCGTTCGCGCCCGATCACGCACGAAACCTCGCTCATTTTCACTTTTGAGTAGCTGCGAAGCGCCAAGGCCCTCTTCTCCCTGGTGTCCGAGTTCAGCTCCACGCGGGCCACCGCCCTCGGGCTCCCTTTGGAGTTCTTCCGCGCCACACACGCAGCTTTCAACAAGTTCGGGTTAGATCAGGTCGGGAGAGGGAGAGAGAGAGAGGGACAGAGAGACAGAGAGACAGAGAGACAGAGACCGGCTAGGCTAGCAAGTAAATTCGAAGTGGTTCATTGGTGTCGGCCGTTATCTGTTAGTAGGACTTGTAGGGTAATCTCGTCTCTATAATATCTCTTTTGCTGGTGTCCCCACCGTCGTAGTCTGTCGATATCTCCGCTGCTCTTTCGATCGATATGGCCCGGTCGCGCCAATACTCTCTTGGATAAAAGTAACTCACCCTGTTAAGCCGCCCCTCAATCATAATACTCCCCTCGCGCGCTTCACGTCGTCTGCCAACGCTTCTGCTGCTGGCAGAGCCTGGCGCTCTCGATGGAGCTGCTGGGGGAGACGGTAAAGGTCGTCGCCACGCCGGAAGCCCTGTCGGATACGTCGGTACTGGAGCTCGTTACGACGGTCGTCAACGTGTGCGCGGAGGTGCTGTCGTGGGAGTTCAAGTACGTGGAGGCGTGGCAGATACCGCCGGCGCAGCAGCTCATCCGGCCGGGGCCTCGGTGGCGGACGTACCTGGTCCGGCCGGACTTTCTCGGAGCCGTGTTCAACGTCTACCATCGGGTGTGTTTGTGTGGGGGGGAGGAGCCGTTTTGTTGAGGGCAAAGGATTACTCGCCGTTGTTGTTGTTGTTGTTGTCGGCGGTGGTTGTTGTTGTTGTCGCTGTTGCTGGAGCCAAGAAGAAGATGTACAAGGGAAGCACGCCGCATTTTCCGGTGTTGTTGCTGCTGCTGCTGCTGCTGCTCGCGATAACAACGCCTACATTAGGTAAACACGCCGCCGTTCCCCCCTCCAACAGGGCATCAAGACCGACCGAAGATCAAGACACCCACACCTCATTGCTCACACAAACAGCGCTTCACAAAGCGCAAGCATTATTTACTCCCATCAACTGTACCCCCCCTTTTGCCGGTTTTGCCGATTCTTCTGTGTACTGCTGTACTGTACTTCCAGTCGCGTCGCTGTGTTTGAAAGCACACACATCGCCCATGCCCCCGCTACCCTGCCGCTGCGCTGCTCATCCACGTTCTCCTCCGTCGGTCTCGCCACGACTGCCTGCTTGGCTTGCTTCTCCCCGCCTTTTGCAACACTCACACGTCTCGCATTAACGCACGTGCTGCGGCGCCGCGCACGCCAAAGGTCCGTCTTCGGGGTACCGCCGGCCCCGGTGGCACCCTGCCCCACGCCCTGCGGCAGCTGCTGCTGCAGCTGTCGTCGGTGCACGGGGACATCTTCGAGAACGACGACCAGCGTAAGGCCTACGCGTCCTTCCTCGTGGAGGGAGCCGCCGCCGTTCTCGCAGCACCCTTCTCGTCCGCGGGTGAGGGATGAGATATGTGCTGGTGTTGATGGAGAGTTTAGGTAAATTGGAGCAGTAACTGATGGGAGTTGAGTCATGATTCAGGCCGTGCTGATGGAGGTTGAGCCATGATTTAAACCGATGGAGGTTGACGGCGTGCAGTCGTGCTGATCGGAGTTGAGCGATGATTTAACAATTGTATTGATTACAATGTGAGGGTGGTGTTTACTATAGATAGTAGTCGATTCCAAGTGGAGCGATTGTGGTGTAAAACGCATTGAGGAGAAGTGCAGAAACAGTCAACCCCCATCCGTTGTTACACCACGCGATGAGTTCAAGTTCTCAGCGTTCGTTTCTTTTTTCGCGATCTGAAAAGTCTATGTCGCCGACCCCTTTTACTCGAGCTGAATGTCGTCGATCCTTTGGCCGCGTTTGGGAGGGCGTAAACACGCCCCCTTTTCTGTGGTTAGCACGCAACAGGCACAATGTGTCCCGGCCCTCTTTTTCTCGAGCAACGATTTCTGCGGGCAGAAACACACGAGACTTGATCGCTTATTTAACCCACCAGAACGGTGTTTCGCGACCCGATATTCGGGCACCAAACGCAGCGGTTGCGGCGGGCAGAAAAAAACACGGACATGTTTCTCATGTTTTCACGCACCAAAACGACGCGATACTCTCGAGTTCTCAACGCGTCGCAACCCTCTGCCTGCACCGCGACAACCGTCGGCCGCTGGCGGCACGCGCGCACGCACGCAGGCGTTCGTCAAGAGGGGGCTCATCAAGGGGCGGCGGAAGCTGCGGCGGAGGAGGCACAAGCGGACGAGTACATCGGCATCGCCAGGTATGCCGCTTTGTTTTTTTTGGGGGCGGGGGCGGGGGTTACGTGTTGCTGGAGGTTGTGCGACTGTTGTTGTTGGTGCTGCTGCTGCTGCTTTTGTGGTCGATGTCTTCACCTTCAAGAGACATGGTCTGTCCTCTACTTGGTATATGTTGATTGCGTCTTGTGTTTTTGGTGAGTGTGAGGGGTTATTTTGCTCATCAGTCATGTGGCAACGTCACCGGAGACGAAAAACACTCCATGATATGAACTTCACCGAGTCGACCGCTGAAACCCTGTGAGAATCGTTCAAGTCAAGTTGTTGTTGTAGTACGGAGGAGCAAATATTTCTGTTTCGTGACCCTACCTTTCTTTTTTTCTAATTTGTCTCCTCGCTGTTTCTTCGTTTTTCTCCTTGCTGTTTCTTCGTTTTTCTCCTCGCTGTTCCTTCGTTTTTCTCCTTGCTGTTTCTTCGTTTTTCTCCTCGCGGTTTCTTCGTTCGTTTTTCTCCTCGCTGTTTCTTCGTTTTCGTTTTGTCGTACTTGGGCGTTGTTCCGCCACCTCTTCCTTTTCTTCTTCTTCCTCTACTTGTTCTCTTCCTCTATTGCGCGATCGCTACCATCGAACAGCATGGCGGTGCGGCTCGTGTCTAACTTCAAGCTCTCTACTCTTGGCCAGCTAGACTCCTTCGCAGCGTTCGCGCAGCACCTGGCCGCTCTGAGCTCGAGGATGCTGCACGAGTCGAAGGCCCTCGCCGGACGAGATGTGCGTTGCTCCTTGTTGTAGTGATTGGTGCAGTGCGTATCTACGTGTGCTTTTTGTTCACTGCGAAAGGACGTTACGTCGATTCGAAAATAACTCATGAACGTCTTCTAAGTTATATATAGTTTGTTGCCTACAACTTCCATTATAAGCTCTTCATTCCCGGCGATTGCGACAGTCGTGTGTTCGTATGTAGAGCTTAGAGCAACATCCTCGTCGGGGCTGCTGTGTCCATTCACCCATTTATTTGTTGTTTTCGGTGTTTTACACCTGAGCCTGTTATCTTCTTGTCGGCATTTTTCGTAACTGCGGCCCCGCACTACATGAGCCTGTTGTATTGTTGTCGGGCATTTTTCACTGACTGCGGGCTTAGCCCGCCCCTACATGAGCCTGTTGTATCGTTATCGGCATTTTTAATTGACTGCGGACTTCACCCGCACGACTAGGATGATGAGGACGTCGGGTGGAGGAGAGAGACATTCGCCCTCCTGCTGGAGTCGTGGGTGGCGATGGCTGAGGACTTCGAGGTTACCAGCGGGGAGAACCAGGGCATGAGGAAGGGTATGCAGGATGCAACGTTCCCGCTGTACGAGCAGTACCTCGAGCACGAGCTGACGGTCAGGTGCTTCACTGAACCACTGCCGCCGCTGTTGTGTCGCTGACGGAGATCAGGGTACAATCTCCCCCGACGTGTGTCGAGGACGATTGAATTGTTATCCTTCGTCTGTGATGGCAATTTCATGTATCCACCCCACAGGGGGACAACTTCGGTGTTTGCTCACGGTCGTACGCCACACAAGCAATGGGTATAAATAGGGACACATGTTTGCACCACGGGCGTTGGCAAGCGACTGCTGCGTATTTGACGTATTTGGCGCTGTTACACCCACCCACCTACGCCCCTCACGGGGTCCCAGATCACGACCGTTACAAGCATGTTCTCTTTTCAGCCGCACTGAGACTGACGCCTTTTCATTGGTCACCCGGTTGGCGCGGTCGGTGCTAGCGTACTAAAGATACATCTCCCACCTACTGCGGGCTTTGGCGACTGCCGTGTGATGGCCGCTTTTGACATCGACTGCATGGGCATGTTTTTGACACTTTTGGCGTGGTTGACGTGTTTGATGTGGTCGACCAATCTGACGCGGTTGGTGAGCTTGACGTTTTTGACATGATGTTTACGTCTTTGACGTGTTTGACTTGTTTCGATACGCTTGGCGCGTTTGACATTCTTGAGATGGTTTTGACACGTTTGAAGGGGTTGATGCGTTTGACACGTTTGCCGTGGTACAGTCGTGTCGAGGCGGAGGCAAGCGTGGGGCACGAAGAGGACGATGAGGAGGAGGAGATCGGGGCCGCGGACAAGGACGAGCAGATGTGCTCCGCCGCCTGCCTGGGCCGGCTGAGCCTGGCCCGATCCCTCGCCGCCGTCGATGTCCAGGTAATGAATGTGTGACGCTGACGTCGGGGGCTGAGGTCGTTGGGTGGTTGTGTCGTTGTTAGCGGTCGTGGTGGTAGTAGCAGTGGCGGTGACCGCATCGATGGGTGGCTCGATTGTGTTTTTTTCGTTGTTGACTGTCATTTGTTTTTGTTCCTCTGCAGTATTGAGAACCACATGGGTTTTTAAGTTTTCCTCAACAGTTTTTCAAATATATCATGTCTTGTTTATCTCCTCGGTTGGCCCTACCTGGCACAGGCGCATGAATCAGCGATGCACAATTAAGTAGCCGGTCGCTCCGGTGGTCTAGTGGGTAACCTCGCAGCCTGCTAAGGGCCAGGTCATGTGTCCGAGTCCCGGCAGAGTGAGCTTTTTGCTCACTAGTTAAATCCTAGTCTCCGTTGGAAGCGACGCGCTGCAAAGCTCGTTGTTTGTAAACTTGACCGACTTCATAAGTCGCGAGGGAGGGGATTGCTGTACCCTTCTCGCGATAAAAATATCTCAGGCAGGAACCGCAGGAGGGGGTCCAACCCCCCCCCTCCTATGTGACCCCGGTTGAGTCGTCTAGCTGGTAGAAGTGGACGATGGGGGCCAGAGGGGCAGACGACAGAGTCCAATGATGGGAGAAAAAAAAGAAAAATTGTGTAAGCTCCTGGTTGGAAGTTTGTATTCCTCACAACGTCTACCGCCCCCGTGTCTCCTGTCTACTCCCTCTCCTCGCCTCCGCTTCTGTTTAGGTAAGGGGAGTATCGGAAGTCCTGTCGAGGCTTCTCGAAACGGGTTCGGTGAACGGACAGCCCGGACTGCTCCCCGGCGGTCAGGAGCTGTCGCCGGCGGCTACGGGCGTGATGGAGCAAGCGAGGACGGCGGTGGTTCTCGCTGCCCACCTCGTCGCCGATAAGGTGAGGAGGCTATTCGATCGATGTTTAGGGGTTGCTGCTGATGTTGTCATTGGGCAATACGGCGTTGATGATAATACGGGTCAAGTGTGAGACTTTGTTGGTACGCTGAGCGGTGTGGTTAGGGTCATTGCCGGTTTGGTTGTTGGACGATACGAAGTCGATGGTTTTCTTGTCGAGCGTGAGACTGTGCTGCGATTCTTGCTGTGGTTGAGGGTTATCGCCGGTGTTGTTGGACGAAACACGACGTCGATGGTACGGGTCAAGGGTGAGATTTTGCGATGTTTTGTGGCTGGTGGTCTTGGGCAATACGGCCTTGGATTATTTACTGGTCTAGTCTTATTGGTGACGGTAAGCGTTCACCGGCCTACCCAGCCGCCAGCCGCTGCTAGACCTGCCCTTGTATCTGGTGTTTCCCTGCACCCGCCCAACTGGTCTGTATTAGCTCCCAGCCGGTCGCCCCGGTGGTCTAGTGGTATCCTCGTAATCCGCTAGTCGCAGGGTCGTGACTTCGAATCCCCATGGGGTGAAAACTTTACAAAATTTGCGGGTGAAAGCGAATTATAGCGCAAAAGCTCTCGTGAGTACCAAACTTCGACGTTAGCACCGTTGACGAGGGAAAGTGACGGCTGGACCGTTCTCGCGATAAAAATATAATTCAGCACGCACCGCAGGAGGAAGGTGGAGCATGAAAAGAAATACCAAGAAGAAAAAAGCCCTGGTCTTTACCCCCTCCTGTGTGACCCTGGATGGTTGTTGTTGTACGAAAAAAATACACCGAAAAGTGTAGTATTCTACATTCGCTGAAAAGTGTACTTAGTACACGTCTCACCACGAAAAATGGGGGGACTGTCGCCATAATAAAGAGGACGAAAACACACACACACACACACACACACTACAAACCCGGTCGTGGCAGCCAATACTAGCCAATCAGAGCATGAAAAGAAATACCAAGAAGAAAAAAGCCCTGGTCTTTACCCCCTCCTGTGTGACCCTGGATGGTTGTTGTTGTACGAAAAAAATACACTGAAAAGTGTAGTACTCTACATTCGCTGAAAAGTGTACTTAGTACACGTCTCACCACGAAAAAAGGGGGGACTGTCGCCATAATAAAGAGGACGAAAACACACACACACACACACACACTACAAACCCGGTCGTGGCAGCCAATACCTCCCCCCCGCCCCTCCCCCCCGATCCGCACCCACTGCTGTATCACGTGTCTTGTGTCTGTCGCAGGACGATAGCATGGTGCCCGAGAGGCTGCACACCGTTCTTTTGGTGGACGATAACGTGAGAAGATAGTTCTGGGGTGTTGTTTGTTTTTGTTTTTGTTGTTGCTGTTGGTTGTGGCGGTTGCTGTGGTTTATCCCCCACTGCTGCGGTTTTCTGCTGCTGCTGCTGCTGCTGCTGCTGCTGCTGCTGCTTACACTGTCGCTTGCTGCCTGCTGCTGCCGCTGGTGTTGTTGTTTTGGTTGGCCGTCGTTACGCTGTTGTGGCTGTCTTCTGTTGCTGGGGCTGCCGTGTATTTTGCCATTGTCGTTGCTGATGATGATGGTCGCTGGTCGCTGTATCCTGCCCTCTGGTGTTGTTCCTGTTGAGCAGCTGTTGTCACCACTTGTTGTGTACCGGTATCATGATACCCTTGCTCCCCTTTTGCGTCTCACGTTTTCTCCGCCCTCACACCCAGCATCCAATCAAGCCAACCAACTACCCAATACATCCTCTTTAATTCCCTCCCGCTTGGCCGCCGCGGTCGTCAACAACACCGACAACGCCAACGTGGACTCCAAGGAACCACCATCGCGAGAATTTTTTTTTTACAACGAAATAGAAGAGGGAGGGGGTACGCAGACCCTATCCCTAACCCTAACCCAACCCTAACCCTAACCCAACTTCCCCGATTGGATGCTTAAAACCAACATGTTGACTTAAAAACGAAAAAGTGAAAACCCCTGCTAAGGTTATTAGGATGACTCCAAACCCTCCCCACCGTATTCTTCCGCCAGGCGGCTGAACTACTTGTGAGTCTGGTGCACAGCCTCCTTTACCTACTCGACCTGCACGTCACTCTTCTCGAGAGAGGGGCGCAGCAGCAGGTTGCGGGTGGAGGGGGGGGGTGCTCTTCGTGGAGCCCTCTGCTGAGCCCCTACCTCGGGGGCGCCTTGCTTTGGTGCCTCACGCGTTGGGCTAGCGGGTACCTGTTCGCGGACTTGAGCCTGTATGAGGTAAGCAACTTGTGTGTGTGTGGGGGGGGGTGTATTCATAGTCGTGCATGCCGTAGTCGTTAGACCATTGACCTCGCATCCCTCCAAACAGGAGACGGAGCACGCCGGGTTCTCACCGGACCAGGCTCTCACATCACCAAGCGCGAAGCGCCGTGAGATATTCGGCGAGTCGCATGAAGGGTGCGCTGCATCCTGCTAAGGGTGTTCGGCATCTTGTGCTTACTTCCTTGCGTACGGATGACAGCTGCGTATGACTTGAGTACTTTTCTGGTGCTTTCAATTCCAGAGACAGTTGTAAGCACTGTGTAACTGCGTCGAGGGTGCCTGGCCAATTTAACACAACGTGTTGCGATTATCCCCTNAGCGCCGTGAGATATTCGGCGACTCGCATGAAGGGTGCGCTGCATCCTGCATAGGGTGTTCGGCATGTTGTGCTTACTTCCTTGCATACGGATGGCAGCCGCGTATGACTTAGTTTATTTTCTGGTGCTTTCACTTCCAGAGACAGTTGTAAGCACTGTGTAACTGCCTCGAGGGTGCTTGACCATTTTAACACAACGTGGTGCGATCATCCCCCTTGCGCGGAGTGAGGGTTCTCCACCCCGCACAACATGATCTACTCGACCACCATTATGGTTACCGCCAAAAATAAACCAGAGGTAAAAACAAAAAACGGGAACCTGGATACCGAGTTCACGAAGTGAATGGGCTTGTTTTACAACGTCGTTGCCAAGCGACGAA